TTATGCGGAGAGAACTAATGAGCCTGCATCGTTTTGCCAACAACGTACATGTACATGCAGGCGATGGTGTATACACCAAGTTCATTTTTCGCATGGCGTGCGCACACCTGCTGTTGCAGGCGGACGGAAGACCGCTAGTAAAACGACCTGCCCTTCCATGTCATTTAATGACGTTCAACAAAGTGGAATATTCAAAAGTTCTTTTTTTTTTTTACCAAAATAGTCGAAAACGTTACTAAAACGTTCAAGTTTCGACCCTGGTAAACGCATTCGGAAGACCATCTCCCTTTGTTGCATATTTATTACAGTGATTCGTTCAAACACTATAAACGACAGTTATAGTTAGTCGTCTATATAAACTTGCATATTACCGAATGATAATTTGGAAATATCTCGATCCTTAAAGCGTTTTTATCAATGTTATCGTGTAGGTAGAGGATCCGCGAATTCGGTCAAAGTTCATTTTTAAAATTCAGACTGTTATACAGAAACGGGGAGGGGTGCCTTATTGTTGAAGTACAGTTGAACGAATGCAAAATGACATGTTACAGGTTATTTTGCATTGGCTATGGATATAACTGATAGATATGTGAAAATCTTTTTACGTGCAAGAAAATTAAGTTAGGAACGATTATTACTGTATACCGATTGTTTTAAATTAAAAGCCAAAGTCTATAATTGTTTATTGTGTCGTGTTTCGATGCCGTTGTCTAATAATAATACGATCGTTTTAAGAATTCACATCTATCCCCTAGAAGACAGCTGCTTCTCTCCGAACACCATCGTAAACCCAGCATAGAATTGGCATTGGTTTTTATTTGTTTTAAGGCGTACGTTTTAATTTTTCATTTTTCCACATATACGTACGACTTACTGCTTAATACATAGGCATTTGGTCTCTGGTCCGCATCACGCATTTGCCCTCAATCCCCAAAAAAGGGAAAGGTTTCCGTAACCGTAGGGCTTTTGATATTAAAAGCCAAATTGGCTAATCAGTGCTGCAACGTCGCAACCGTACACTAATATATTCATCCTGATGATCAATTGAGCGATTACCAATTTAAGTCACTGCGACTCAAACGCTTCGTAACGCTGGTCATTCGGACAGGTTTCTTTTCGGTTCTGCGCCCAGGTGAAATGTGTGCGATTTTCCATAGAAATATTAGGTAATTGTCGATGCAAAAGCGGTCTTCGGTGTTTCTTCATGAAGAGATAGACACCTAAATGTACACGCCAACGTGACAAACTATTCGTAGCTAACGGCAGCTAAACTCTCTGTTGACAAAACGGTGGTTTTGGGCGAAAAAGAAACAAAGTTATTTCAATGACGTTTGCCATGCTTAATCCGACGGTGTCGCGGAAAAGCATAATTGAATTATCTTATCAGTAGGATTTTTTTCTCTTGATATCTTTGTCTACCCAGCGCAGTTAGAAAGTATACCAGCCATTGTCCAGTGACCTGTCGTTTTCGCGCTTTTCCCACTTTATGAGATTCTCTCAATAGAAACGACATAAACTAAGGGTCGAAAAATCGCTTTTGTTTCACGCGGAACACTTATTGGTTCGAGATACAAAATTCGTTCGCCCCATGAGGTTCCTAATTAAATCACCCGAAGCCAGCCGGCTAATAATCACGAACGATAGGGAAACTCAACAAATTAAAAATGAAAAAAATCTTTTGCGTAGCCTAGGGTCAAAAACGGGTAAAGTATTAGCCTGTCACAAAACACACTGCCGACCTATAAAATTTAATAACCTTTAAGCTGGTTAGGCTAGAATAAAAATTGTTGTACCTATTAGAGGTACTCTGTTCTATTTGCTACGCACTTGTTTTACCGCTTAGCAGTTGTTTCTAAACAGCCATATGTTTAGATATTACTTTTATTTTTATGACTCGTTGAAGGAAGTCGGTAATGAGATATGTTTGTCAACCAGTTGCTCTTCTCAGAATGGAAAGTCCCGCAATCGCAGGGATAGAGGCTGGGAGAATAGGCGGGGTAAGCCAACGTCAGATATTCCTTTGTTCAAACCAGAAAGCTATTAGGTCTGGCATTGTTAACTAGTAACTAGACTGCATTCGCGTCAGTGGCCTATGAATTTCTTAAAGACCTCGAGATAGCTGGTTGCATTCCTTATTTCATTTTAGGCGAGCGTCCCTTAGCAGCAAATGCCCCCTGATGTCCACTGCAACTACTGCCATCATCTCACGTCCGAATTTTCTTGACAATACCACGAACCTTGATTTCTTTCTGGGGTAACCCACTTTGTCGCTCGGTCGTTCTTCGACTAGCGGTAAAGGTTGAACGATGCCTTGTCCATGATCATTGTGCGCTCTAGGCAAGCTCTTTGTTGGGTAAAGATCTGCGAATTGCATGTGGAATAATTTGTGAAAAGCTTCATCGACTTCAGTAATGCATTCTTATCCTTCGGGTTCTAGCATCGGTAATTTTCAACACTGTAGTTTCTTCTTTTGAAACGCTTGCACTGACTACGTACCGTGCTTTAGCTTAAGGTCTCGTTGCCTAATATATTTAGCAATTTCTTCAAATTAATTCTGACGAAGCATTAATTTTCAAGATAGAAAATCTGTTCATTTTTGATTCCGGGAGAAGATCACCCGGTTTGCCTAAAAGTTTCTAGAAGTTTGGAGCATTTACGATCGCCTGCTAAAAGCTCATCGTTCAAAAATTGAATTTATTTTTAACGGCCTAACCTATGAACCTCCTTACAATTGCATTAAAATTCATTCCAGAATAGGCATCGAATTATGGGTCAGGACTTAGACTTACGATCGAAAGGCTATATAGCTTACATTTATGTTACTTTAGGGATCGTTGCTGACGGCACCACGCAAGTATTCAAAGAAAAATATACACTAGTGTTTACATTATAATGCACGAACGAGCTAACGCTGGCTGCTCTCCCCTGCAAGATGCACGTATGATATACGTTTTATGTGCCATTGGAGCATTTAAGTACATTGATGAGCTTAGCGTAGTGGCTACTGGTAAAGTTAAAGTAGGTTTAACTTTTATATTCGTTTTTGGATGGGATTAATTTTGATTTGTACACTATTAGTACGTACATTTCACCGAGCAGATCAATGGTATAGGTCATCAATTCATACTTGAATGCCTTTGAAAGAGTTCCGTTTGGAGAGCCCGAAAATGTAACGGCCATTGTCGATTATACCACGTTGGAAAGCTGTTTTTCTGGTATGTTTTGCTGTGCTTGACTGAGGGATTGACAAGCAGTACCTATATTCATCATAATCTAAGCTTAAAAAAACCCATTCAAGCATTTTGGTCTTACGAATGGGGGTATACAACAGGTAAGCGATGTTTGGTGTTTTCTTTAAGCTGGTCATGTAAATGGTTCGTTCATTGCTACAATAGTCACTGTAACTCTTTAGAAAAAGACTTGCAAAGAAGTAAGAAATTTTCTACATAACGAAAACGTAGGTTGAATATGGATCAGAGTTAAACTGCCTGATTCACGCCGTTGCCTTCCAGTTGCAAGCTCATCCCAACACTAGTAACATAATTTGTCCTAGCGTGGCAGGTATACATTTGCTGAATTATTTGACTAGATGTATCTGGTTTCCCTTCTATCTAGATTGTATCTGGTGGCCTGATTTTCGTCCGACATCCAAATGTGCCTGTCATCTCAGGCCGCTACCATGATGTCGAGCTGACGCGTTGTTTTTGCTAGATGAAGTAAGCAAATCGCTCGATCGACATGGCTATACGTTATAGTACAGAGACATGTTTTAAGCTGTTGCTTCTCTCACAAAAATATCGCCCCTGGTCTCTAGCTACTGAAAAATTTCCCGTTCTACAGTCACCAAAAAGTCTACCACATCAGTGATATAAGGTGACAAAGAATAATTCGAATAGGGTGCCGACTAAATGAAAGCGTCCGACTAAATGAAAACGTAGCTTTTAGTTATCATCGTAAGAAGCGGTCATGAAATTTTTAATTGGTTTATCTATCCGCTTATAGTAGATCAAACAATAATATTTACATATACAATTTCACGTTTAGCATTGCCATTAAGATTGACTGAGACTGGATTCATCATATGTTACATTTACTACTAGTGTAAATCGTGATTCTGAAGGCAAACCTTAAATCTAGTTTCCATACTGCCACGTCATCTGCGCGTATCTATAACGGGGCTCTCATGGCCGTATACGAGCACCGTCATAATCATACGCATTAAGTGCTCTTTTTAAAAGTTCGGTAGTAGGAAAAAACATTGTACTCCGAAGTATCACATCAATGAGACAGGTGCTATAAAGACAACTTGGCAGACAAATGCGGAACGATCCTTTTCTGATACCCTCTTCTGTCGGAGCGTTTTTCGTGGATTTCCGTAATTGCTCCTTAGTGTTTCACGTGCTTTCATGATTCTTTTTGCATCGATGGGGACCGTTTGTACGTTTGTATAATTTGTTTCCCAAACGTCATCATCAATAGGCGGCAAACATGTTCGTCTATAAGATTGATACTTCTATATAAAGTTGAATTTGGCCTTAGTGAAGACTACTATAATAACCCCCGTTTAAGCGAACTAACCATATGTAATATGTAGGTTTATATTGAAAAAAAAAGGGACAGATGATAAGCGCAAGCGTTTAAGTGCCTCGAAGTTGAACTAGTAGCTCAAATGTGTAATAATAGTACGACAATTTGTAAATAAAGGCAAACACTTATTGCACAGGAGCGACGGTTACTGTGTGGTCAAGTAGAATGCTTTTTCATATTTTTAATTTATGTACAAATTTAACATCGACCTTTGATTTTTATGTACCCTGTAGTATTTAACCCGCATAACCAAAGGTGCTATGTATTATAGTGTAATTAATCTGATATATATATATATATATAATGACCTCAGATTTTATACAGACTTGTTTTTCTCTGGTGTCGTCTTTTTCCACCCAAACATTTCTCATCCCACAATTGAAGCATTCTTCTGTACCCTTTCTGTATTTCAGGTGGTTCGAAATTCAGAACGAATAGTCATTCAATGAAGCATCGCAAAGAGTCAGCTATATTGTAAAATATCGCTATCATCAATCGTCGACCAGCGAAAAGCTCTGCGATGGTAAAACCATCAACGAGGAGGAATCATAGCTAGCCAATAATTGTAGTCTGCGTTCTAAGGGAAATATTCAGTCGCGGCGTCTCTTTCATTCCACCTGAACGCCCTCTTGTGTGCAGCGTCTAGATGTGCTTGCGCACAACAGACAAGCAAGTCGTCTGCAGCGTCAGAACAAACTAATGGAACTGCCTCTTTCGGAGTAGTCCACCATAGAAATGATTGTTACATTTAACGAATAACAACCCTCGTCTACCCACCACTATCGTCGTAGGAGGAAATACAGAGATTTACGCTCACAAAGGATTTTACTAGCATCGTACACAAACTGTATAAGTACCGCTCCCACTGCAGCAGAACCTAAAAGAACCGTTGCTGACATAGCCTTTGGTCTGGCTTTGAACCCACTAGCTCGATTTTCAACAGCAACAGCTCGAGTCCACCGCGCGCACGTCAAGGGGACAGGCGTAACCCCCTTTGTGACATTGGTTCTTGCCTCCACCTAAAGCGAAGGACTACTTTGCGAACCATCGGTAGAGGGCAAGCTGCACCAGGTGCCTGTAACAAAGTTGCTGCTGTTACAACTACCGTTAGTCTTGGTGCCGCCATTGAAACGAACCACAACGTGTCGCGAAAGCTTCAAGACGAGTCTGAGACATCGTGGCAGGTGAACGAATCACTCGAGTTCACCCTCATCGGAAACCCTAGGGGTCGTAGTGCTGCCTGTATGGGTATGGGTTCGATGGAGTGGGATGCGAAACACGCTACCTGCTATACAAAATGGCACACAAGCGACCAGGACAATGTCGATTTACAACTATCACCATCGCCGACCACATTGACGCACGTTGTTCGGCCCAGAAGACGCAGAACTTTTACAAGCCGCGATTACTGGCCCGCCAGTTATCGAGGCATGATGGTCAAAGTAAGATTTCCGATCTTTCTATTGTTTTTTACTAGACTCACACAGTAATAGAAATATATGTATCAGTTCAATTTAGGATGCCATATAGTCACAACTGTAGGACCAACGTGGGAAAGCTATTGGATGGTCTGCTCCTCGTAAAAAAAATTGAATGAAATACTACAATATTATTTTTTTATTTAATCATATTGTCGTGTAATAAATATCGTTTAGTTCCAGCGACTCCCAGCTTTTTTAGCGAGGGTTTACTCATCCAATATGCTATATTATGCAGACGTTCAAGCCAACAAGAAAGGTCTTTGAGGGAAACTTCTATGAAAAAAAACACAACTTTATTAAATCGACTTCTTATTAACTAAACCATGAGTCTCAGACCTGCGATGACAATTCCCAAAGTATTTTGCAGCGCTGTATGGGCAGGTTTATACCTGCCCATACAGCGCTTGAAACGTGAATCTGATTTCGAACTGTTTTAAGCAAGTGCTCGCTACAATGCATTATGAAAGCAGGATACAAACAATTATAAACATTTCCTTACTAATAACGGTATTAGGCATCAAATTGTTATAACCGTATGCATGTAGAAAGCAGACGCAATCGTCTGAAGAACATCGACCCCGCTTGCTATAGCACCCATGCACGTGTGAACTGTGAAGGTACAAGCCAAAAGTCAATCTTCGTTCTCGATTGATTAGTGGAAGGGTCAACGGTGCGGTTGAGGGAAACATGGTTAACGGCTCACTGGCCACCATTGCTTTGGTAAATGGCAGACCATCAATGAAAGGTGAGATATGGGTTCAGCGGTCATCGGTGATCAGTTAGTAGCGATGCAGATTAAACGCTTACTTCACTAGCTTATGGAATATGACGTTCGTCACCTTACCCCACTACTATTACATTGCAGAGTTACCCGTAAAAGACAAGGTTGCTTGCAAGTGTTTTTTTGTTTTTGTTGGATATTTTTAGAGTATGTTCACATAAAGACATTGGGATTTTTGAGAATTATTTCCAAGAAATTTAGCAAACACGTAAATAATTAGATCAAATAGATCTATAAGCTCGTAACCGAGGCTATTCTATATATAACTAGGTTAGTTTAAATATAAACCTGGCCTGTTTTTCGCAATGGTCAAAAAGTAACCGGGCATCGAGCACCATCGGCCATAGACCAGTCCTGTGTGAGCGATAGCACTTCATTGCTGTTTGTTCAAGGGACAAAATGTTTTATGAAGAATCGATTAGTTCTCTTAAGCTGTTTGAAGGACTGCTGAAAGCTTTTTGAGCTGAAGCTCGTTGCGAACGTTTAGCCTTTTTCAGTGCTCCTCACATAAACAAAGCATCAAAAGGCGGAACACTCGACGCTTCACCTTTAGTGCATTACGTAAGACCATGCAGTACAGGATGAGCGCTAGTCCCAGATTGCAGTTCTTGCAATCGACTCCTGTTAGTTTGCTTGGGTCAGTATAATACAGCCAGCTACATATACATCCAGAGAGTGCCTAGTAAGAAACAGGTTCAACTTGAGTCGAACTTACGTGCAGTTGAGGTAATCAGAAGTTTCTAAGGATCAAAGCTGCGACCCTGCATGCGTATTGTTATCGACACATAAGAGTAAAGTAACGGGTAGAAGTTTTGAAAACTGATTTTTTATGACGAGCAAATTCGGTATATTAATGGATCGATCAATCTAGATAACGCTGCAGATGAGGTGATGCTAAACGGGACTTAGTCGAATATTACCATGTAATACATCGATATTAAAGATTGAAGCTTTAATGAGGGCTTAATTGATTAGCCCTTGACGGAGCAATTTTTGAATTTAGGCTATTAGCTGAAACATATATTGGAAAGGTTGAATAAAAATATATCATGCTTCACTATAATATGATACAATCAATAATATACACGTAAAAGATATTTCTGGGTTTAGTGAAGCTTATTCAATAAATTAAAATTAATTAGAATCATAAAACAAAACAGTCCTTCGACAACTTCTAATGTCGCCTGCCTGTATAAAACTACTGTCTTGACATACTCCCAATTAAACCCGCAATGCTCGATTCTTCCGATTAAAAATACAACTACGCTCATCGACAAATAACCGAACAAAAGCGTTTCAATTTAAAAAGTTCCTCGAAAAATAAATTACTTCCTTCTGAATCTTACCATCATTTGATTTTAAGGTAACTTTTTTTTGCTTTTCTGAATAGCCTTTTCAGCAGGGGTAGTACCTTCTCCTCACATGCCTCACCAATGAGGCATAGACGATATTCTTCACTGTGTAGATGCGCCCGGGTCTGCACTATATGTCACCGAGGGAACCTCGACGACTGGGTGAAGAGTCACAGGAAATAGGCCGAAATTAACTTCTGCAGGCGGTACTGAGTACCATAAACTTCCCATACTACTGTTTCCAATGTGGCCGTTGTTGCGTGAGCAATATTCTATATAAACAGCAAAATATATAAGGAAACGAATATACGTAAAGTTTACTAGTACGTGTAATAGGTCAACAGCACTGAATTCGGGTTTGTTCTATGAATTATATAATATCCCTAATGCATATGCGATTTCATTATAATAGTATAATGCATTAACCAAGACTCATCCCCTGAAAAATGCACCCCTCATACCCCTTGTATGCTTCATAAGCCTCCACCATTCCGGGCTTAAACGATTCATGCTTTTAAGATATAGTTACTCAAAACACGACAGAATTTCGACTACGAGTCTGACCTTTCGTAAAAAAGTAGCAGCGTGGACTTCGGCCATTTTTCTTCTGCACTCCGTTTGCCTCTCAAATGTGTTAGCGAGTGCACTGGGCCGTCGTGAATTGTTAGTTTCTCTTTGACGTAACTCTTCTAATTCCAATTTGCTTTTTGCTTCTTCGTCCGTCGACCACGCTTTTGGGCCATCACCATTTTTGTTACGTTTCGTTCTTAGCCGTATTACGTCCTACCCATCCCTGGGACAGATGCTCCCGCTAAGTCTGTGGCTCTTGATTTTTATGTCTGTGCGTACTTACGGTGGCTATATGGGACAGGATAGAATCTAAGATGTAGAGGGTAAGCTGAGAGGCAAATTTTTTGATAACATACATCGTGGAGCCTGTGGTATGTGCTTCAAAAGTCACGCACTCGTTAAGCAGGCCTTTGGTAGGGGTTGTTGACAACAGCGACTTGGCAAGCAGTTTAAAACGATCTGTTCCTAGCTGATTTAGTTAAGGGCAAAGCACAGACGAAATCTGTTGGGGTGGAACGTTGAAACTTGAGCTGTGGTCACTTTCAGCCCGATTTTACTCGGTCCGTTTTCTGTTAGTGTCCACCGGCCTCGCCTTCGCATCGAGAAGACCCCATAAAAACCGACAAAGCCCACAAGCCCCTTAATCCTTCTCACCTCTTTAAAAGTCTCCATAACAGGCGACCAGGTTCTAGCCAGTACCACGTCTTCTACTACTACTACTTTGTGTGCCTGTGTGTGGTTCTTCAGTGCTCCATTGTCTATCTGTCGGGGTTTTTACGAGAAGCAATGTGTTGCCTGTTAGCCTAGGAAAGAAGAAGCTGTTTATGAGACTGATTTGTATAAGCTAAGCAGTTTTAGTGAAAAGAAGAAGCTCTGCGTCGATAGCATTGAAAAAGCGTATGTAAGTTTGGGAGCTGGAGGCAGAAGAGGAAGAAAAATCGTATCGATAAGTGAGCGAAGGAGGCGTAAGTACAGGATCTGGGAAGTGGGGTCCACCGCAGGAAAGGGGAGCAATGGGGTACATATTTGGAGCCAGTTAAACAGACAGAACAGAGATATATTCTGCCGCTTTTTATGTCTGTGTGCGTCTATGGCTTTTGTGTGAATTATAAGCAGGTGTCTTTTCCGTAGTAGAATTTATTGAGCTGGACTATTGTCGATTAAATAGGGAAGGCACTGTTGGGCATTCCTCGCTGGCATCTGTATGCTACCCTCAATAGCTTTAGAAACGGACAGCTAATTAAATCGCCCGACGTACCTATGATAAACGGCAACAAATAAAAAAAAAAGGAGAAAACAATTGAATATCTTTAGATTTTGGTAGCGAGTTAAGTAACGAACTGATTCTGTTTGATCCCGATTTGTTTAGAGCTTCAGGCTCATTACTATTAATACTACGCCATACAAATTGTGTATGGGCTTTTAAGTGTTTATTTTTGCCCTAAAAAAAGCACGATATTTGTATCAAAGTGGTTGACTGGCTCCCTAGCAGTTAAATGAACAGCAACAGCCACTGGAAAACCTCTCCCGCTTCCAGAGAGATATGGTAATTCAGCAATTGCATATATTTCTATTAGTTATGTATTTTAGCGTATTTATCTATGCGCTATTGATAATGAGCGATGTGCATTTAAACAGTAAACATTCTCAAAAAATTTAGCTGTTGAGCTAAATCTCGGCCGCTTTGTCGTCGTCATCATCAAGGCTGGTCTTTTTTTTGCTCAGGACTGATACATTTTACTAAAAATAATAACAAAAAACGAAAAGCTAGCGCTGACTTTCTACTTAACGGGGAGGCTCCGCAGTGTCGCAATCGACGAACGAACGCGCACTCGATATGATCCTTCGCAGACTTTGCGTACACATGTCTGTTGCATGGACTTCTGCTTTCACCAATAGTGGCACGGGGCTCCAAGCCTTTAGGGGGTGACCTCCGCTCACTGCAAACAACCTTCGTCGATTCGTCAGGTTTTGAACACCAAGATTATGCAAGCTAGGATACATCACAGGAGTATCCCTAGATCCCTGGTCGTCCTCAAGAGCAAACCGCGCTGAACTGCCTCATTCAACGCTTGTTGAAACACATACAGTATATAGTAGTATTATCGATGTATCGTACGATTCTGCGTACTTTGGTTGACTATGCTCTAATCTAAATATGTAAGTGAATCCTAACTATTCTTGTAGTCCTGTTAAGTGAGGCATCTATTTTTTCGACTCCTCCTCTAGTCATATTAAAACGTAGTAATATTTTAATA